CAAGAAATAGGGGTAATTATATCTTTTACTAGGTAGCTCCAAATGGTATGAAATTTTTATGGTGTACTGCTCATATCATGAATAGCTTGTAGTTAAATTTTCATAAATTTTGGGCACTATTTGTAGGAAATAGAAAATTATCTTGTTTGCATGGATGGATCTTGTGTAAATTTTTATAATTTTTCTATAGATCCAGTTAGGGTAAAAATTGGTGAGTACTATTCTTATGCTAGGTTGATGCTAGGAAAAATTAGAAATCTATTGTTTGACACTTTTCAATAGGGTTTCCTAATTATGCTAAAAATAGACATGCTACCTGTTATTTTGGATACAGCAAGTTTTGCTTGCCCAATGACTTTGAAATTTTTATAGTAGTCTATGTGAAGCATGAGATAGCTACTGTAATGTTTGTAGATTTTTCTGAATAGTTTTACTATATATTGCTTTAATCACCTAATTAACTAAAGAAATTAGAAAAGGGCATTAAATAAATTGTTTAGAAGTTGGCACTAGACTTTCTGATGTTTCTTTGGTATGCAAAACATGTTGGTAAACTTGGTTTGGTCCAATTATGCTTTTGCATCATCATTAAATAATTAAGTTAGTAACCCTGGCATTTCTGAACAGATTCTAGGTTTACTAGAATTCGATTGAGTTAACGTAAGAATCAGGCTTTGATGTTTACAAATGATTTGTAGAGAATTTCATAAGCTTTCCAGAATATACTCATGCAAGTCATTTGGATTTGTAGAACTCTTGTTGTGGTTGAATTAAGGAACTATCCGTGTGCATATTAAACTTTAACTGTTGTTTAAAGTATGCCTTTACTATTTCTAAGTTGGGGTAATGTTCCTAGGTGTTAGGCCTTTAACTGAGGATGGGCATCTTCATCTTAGGCTATGTAAGTTAGGTAAGTTGATCTTGTTCTTCAAGTTAAGTTAGATACTTGTTTTAAAATGATTTGAATAGAGCTATTCTTAATCGGTAAGCGAGTGTGTCAATAATGTTTTTCGTTAAACACATCGTGATTCATTCATCATCATCATGTCATTCCTTATGCATCCATGATATTTATCTTGTGCATCGACATGCAATAGGTGTATCGGAAGGAGTGACCCTGCTGGAATTCGAGGAACCAAGCGAAAGCAAAATGATGACGACACCGAAGTTCGGGAGGTGCGACCTTCGTAAGAAGTGCCAAACGAGGTCGCCGTTGAGTGCCCGGATCACCGTCCATGCAACTTTGTGAAAGGCAAGCCCGGAGCATATTAAGCCTCCTAATTTTCAAAATCTGATTCTGATATTATTGTTACATATATATATTGTTGCATTAAGTTTAGGTGTTGGATGCAAACACTTGTCGCATTGGTTATCCAATCCTTGTCCAGATATTGATACCTCGAATCCTATGTAGCTCAGGCTCGTGTAGTGCTTAGCCCCGCTTAAACACGGTAGAAGTCGGTGATTTCTGTCACCTGCGAGATATAGGAAGATACATATGGCACGGTTGGCTATATTTGCTATCGTGGAAAAGAACCGGTCTTAATTTGAAATGAAGACCCGGACGGAGGCTTGCCGGTTTGTAGTGACTCATCGTGTGTCGATTAAGGACTGAATCTTGGAGCCTTTCCTGTTCATGTTGAACGATGCCTCTCTTAGTTGGTCGTGTAATCAAGACCGACCATGGCAAGCCGAGTAGCTCACCTCGGCCGGGAGTCGATAAGTATAAAGTGCGCCTCGGGAGGGAGCCGAGGCGTGAGTCCAAGGAAGGTGATTTAAAAGTCCCTGATCGTCTGGCGGAAGGGTAATCCCCGAGAGTGCTTGGGCATTGATCGAACCCGAATTTGGTTCCCTGAAGTTGTTCCAAAGGTGACCCACGGCTACCCTTGCTAAGTATGCCAGGATGAGAGTTAGGAATACCCCCTCAGCTGAGTTGTAATTCGATTCGAGTCGCCGTCTCTCCCGGTTAGTGAGAACTTGATGGGTTTATCTCCAATGTAGATACACTTAACAACATAATGGTTCGGAAATGATGATATGATGATGACAGCCTTATTATACCTGCTATGGTTAATATTGTTTGCTCCTAATAAGTGAGTGCTCTAGTACATGTGCTAATCTAGTGGACAGGTAAATGATGATAAGCTTGATGCTAAGTTTAAATTGGTTACTATAATCTTAAGCTTTTTTATGCAACTGTGTCAAGCTAGCCCACCTCTTAAACCTTGCATGATCCTTGGTGTCTTTTATTTCTGATTTTGTCGGGTAAGTCTAGCTGAGTACCTTCTCGTACTCAGGGTTTATCTCCCACCTATTGCAGATGACTAGTTCTACTTTGGTTGCTGCAAGTACTGCCTTCTCCTAGCTGGGGATGAAGACTAGACCGTTGGGCGCGGTCTCTACTAGTTCTCGTACCTGATAATGCTTTTGTGGGACATGACTCAGACTTGGCAATGTATTTGAAACTATGAAGTTATGTACTAAACTATGTTGCTTCCGCAAATTTGAACCTGGTTTGTAATATTTTATTCGCACTCTGATGGATGTAATCCGAATGCTACTTATGAAATGTTGTAACGAATGATGTGTTGTGTTGAATCACTACGGTCTTGGTTTGTATGTCGAGAGTTGGTTGAAATCCTTCGTGATTTCTAGACTACCGGGATTATGGGAGCTTAAGTACAGGAATTTGATCGCTTCGGTGATTGTTTTTGTACTTACGTTCTTATAATTTGGTCGGTTCTGTTACAATGAAGACTTTAATTTTTTTTATCATGAGCCCCTTACATCATTCTAGCAAACCTCAGCTTTGAGTAAGTCTAGGTTTGCTCACAGTTGAACTGCTCGGACACCGTTCCCACTGCTCGGACAATAGCTCGGATGACAGTTCAACTGCTCGGATACTCGCTTCAACAGCTTGGCTCCCAGTTAAACTGGTTGGACACCTGATCCTGATGATCAGCAGCAAGTTGGACAGCTCGGACAAGCTTAGGACGGTGTTGCTCAACGGATACAAGGCGCTCGGGGACTAGCTGTGGGGGGATGACCTCCGGTACCCACATGATAAGACATGGGCCACACCATCAGAGGTGGCCAGCCGACAAGATCAAGGCGCGCGGCGTACGACATTGGTCGATGTACACCGCAAGACTACAAAAATATATAATTTATTAGATATTATATAATACCAAATATGATATTTTCCTTATAACTCTACCCCTCCAGAGCATATAAGGAGGCGTAGGAGTCCCCTAGTCGACATCTCCATACGGATCTTAGGCTTAGCCTAAGGCATATCATCTCTCATAATACAATCCACAAAGACACATGACGTACGGTATTACGTCAAGCTGATGGCCTGAACCTGTCTAATCGCTGTCTCTTGTGTTCTGTGCCACCATCTGGTTCCCTCACACTCACCTCCACCGATTCATCTACTACCATGGGCATACTCCTCGGTAGACTGCCGGACGTATTTCGTCGACACTAGTGCCCGGACGTCCAACGCCCGCATCACGTCCGAACACATCTCCCAGCCCCCAGCCAACCGAACCGTGGGCTGGCGTTGTGGCTCACCAACAGGACCATCTCAGCATTCCGCGTAAAATAGAAAACTAAAGGGGACCAAGCGTTATTGGTCCGCGTAACGGAAGGGGGACGGCGTGTGCTCGCGTCCGCGCCGCAATCCCCCGCCCCTTGCTGCGCCCCCTCCTCAGTCTGAGAAAGATGTAAGGCAACAGAAGGTGAAGAGGAGACACCAAGGCGAGGCATCAGAAAAGCGAGGAGGGAGATGCAACACCCGATCTACTTTTGAAACATCCAGATACAACACTTACGACATTCGTCTGAAGATAGATGAACCATTTAAAATATATGTATGAAATACTTGTAAATACACATGAAAAAACATTTGAAACCAATTGCAACACATACGAAACATCCAGAAAAAAAACGCTGCAACATATATGTGAAACATTTGCAACATCCAGATAAATACACTTGTAACATATGTCCGAAAAAACAGATAAAATATTGGGAACAGACGTTTGCAACATACGTGTAAAACCATTACAATATCCCGATCTACGTTTTCAACGTCCATACAAAACCTTTCAACATACAACTGAGACTATGAAACACTTGAAATATATGCTTGCAACATGCGCTCTTAGCGCAAGCGTAATGTCTCCTTGCTGCTCGGACGAATGGAGCTCGTTGTTGTGGAGCTCAACATCGACATGGAGCTTGATGCCACGAAGTGCGTGGAGGTCGTCGGTGCGGATCTCATCGGTTGCACGGACCTCGATAGTGGCCGCGGCAGGTGGATGGACCGCCGTCGCGATGGGAGGCACGAGTAGGGGAGGGGGGCTCGGCCGGTGGTGGCGTCGGTGAGCGGCTCGAGTGCGGCCGGTGCCGACGAGCATCGCGGCAGAATCCGTCCTGCGACCACGAGCTGGGACGCACAACACAGAGCGGTGTGAACGACATGGGCAAGTGGATGAGGATGGGCCACGAGGTCCACATGGCAAGTCACGTGCACGATGCGAGTGAGTGTACGGGGATGGGCCATGTCCGGGCGCGAGCGATATCATTATATCGCAAAAAAAAATTGCACAAGCGCAAAGCTGCAAATAGCGCTATAGTTTTACTTACATTTGTGGGCCGTGAATCATGAAGTGACAAAGGCTATGGCCCAGATCCCAATTGTTTGGGTTTGCTGTGTATTGAGCCCAGACCCAGGGATCACGGCCCAAACAGATATCCTTGTGAAGCAACCCTACTACTCTCACTCGAGCACCCGCGCGGCCGCGCCGCGCCCTTCCCAACTTCCCGCTCGCCACCCCGAGCCGGCGCCGCCGCTGCATCTCCACTTCACCAGCCCCCGCGCCGCTCCTCATCCTAGTTGGGCACCTCCGTGGGTGGTGTAGTCTGATTACTCCCTGCAGCCCTAAGCGCGGTTCGCTTCCGGCTCCGCTGCGGGGAGCCTGGTTTCGCTCGTGATGTCGCCGGCCGCCGGAGAGCAGCTCTCTGGATCCCACAGAGAGGGCAGATCCGTGGAGGCGCGGAGGGTCTTCATAGGCGCCGGCTGCAACAGCGTGGTGAACAACGTCTCGTGGGGAGCCTGCGGTCTCGTCGCCTTCGGCACCCAGAACGCCGTCGCCCTCTTCTCTCCACTGGTCTGCCGCCTCGCTCCTTCACCATTTTCTATTTCTTGCAGTTTTAGTTACCTGATAAGTATATCCCACTTGTTCGTGTCACACAATTCGTCCAAACTCGTGTTCGTGCGAGCAGAGAGGTGAGATCGTGGCAACTCTCCCGGGGCAGAAAGCGCCGGTTAACTGCACGCTATGGCTTCCCACGAAGAAGGATGTGCTACAAGGTGTGTCACTTTTATTTTTACATATCTTTTTGTTTCGTCGGCTCGATGTTTAGGAGTTATTATAATTGCTGTATGTAATTTGGAGCTTGCTGAAACGACTCTTTGTCTGATAGATTTTTTTTGTTGTTGTTCTTTGAGCAAAGTTATATATGTTTTGACCATGTAAGCTGATCCCACTACCAGCAATGATCGTCTTGAGCTGACTGTAGATTATTGCTATTCCATTCATTCCTTGAATTGTTTTAGTTGGTAAACTGGCAGGCTGCATATATACAGCACTAGAGATATGTCTGTTTCTCCCTTGTGAGGCCTAGTGCTGCATTTTGTTGACTGCTTTTCCTTCATGGTTTGCAGTTCGTGGCAGGGAGACCCACTATCTACTCTCAGGAAGTGCTGATGGTACTATCATGGCTTGGAAGATTGGTTCTGGCAAAGGAGAGGTGACTTTATTATGTATACATGGGCAATGCTCACTGCTATGTTGTATTAGAATTGGTTGCAACCTTTCAGTGTACCTGTTGGAAAATATCTGCTTGATAAACTTAAAAATGGACTCCAATGGTTTCTGCTGATGCCTAATTGTCTGATTTACTGTTTACTCCTTATTTGCAGTGGTCTCATGCATTGCAGCTCCCAGGGATGCATAAGAAAGGGATCACCTGTCTTGCTGGAAGGATGGTGTCTGATGCTGTTGCAATTTTTGCCTCTACTTCTTCAGATGGTATTGTGGTTATTTGGGAGATGACAATTGAGCCCGCCCCTGGTGGTAAGATTGCTTCCTTGTGGATTGTCAATATTACTGTTAGGAGCCTAATCTTTTGTCATGCTGGTTAAATATTCAAACTCTAATTCTTTTTTATTTTATGATTTTGACGGTTCTGGGGAATGTGCACTGCATTTGTACTTAACGTACTTGCTTTTTCTTTGCAGGCGATTGCAAGGTGTCTTGCCTGCATTCTCTGTCCATTGGTTTGAAACCAATGGTTTCACTTTCATTAGCTGTATTGCCAGAACGAGGCCATCTCATTTTGGCGATGGGCGGTTTAGATCACAAGATCCACATCTATTGTGGGGATAAGGCAGGCAAGGTTTGTAACTTAAGGTTTTTGCTACATCTTTTTTTGTCCATGTTTCCATTTCTTGCTACCCTAACTACACATTTTTCTGTGTGCAGTTCATTAAGGCCTGTGAACTTAAAGGTCATTCTGATTGGATCAGAAGTTTAGACTTTTCTTTACCTGTGATGATGGGGGGTGAAAAGCACAACCTTTTCCTTGTTAGCTCATCTCAGGACAGAACCATTCGGATATGGAAAATGACTTCAGAAGCTGCTTCTTCTGGCTCCTCCGTACAATTGAGGAAAGGAACTATTGAGATGACCTCCTATATTGAAGGACCTCTATTTGTGTCCGGTAGTACAAGTTACCAAGTATCATTGGAGTCTCTTCTTGTTGGGCATGAGGATTGGGTATATTCAGTAGAGTGGCAGCCGCCTACACTGTTAACTGGGGATGAAGCTCATCAGCCAATGAGCATATTATCTGCATCCATGGACAAGATGATGATGATATGGAGGCCAGAGAAAAATACTGGCCTTTGGATTAATTCAGTGACTGTTGGTGAATTAAGTCACTCCGCACTTGGATTTTATGGTGGACATTGGCAGCCTGATGGCAGATCCATTCTTGCACATGGTTATGGTGGATCCTTTCATATGTGGAGAGATGTTGGACTGGATTCTGAAAATTGGCAGCCTCAGATAGTCCCATCTGGTCATTTTGCACCTGTTTCTGACTTGACATGGGCAAGATCTGGCCAATATTTGCTATCAGTTAGCCATGACCAGGCAAGTTCCTCTACTTAATATCAGTTTTGACTCATACTTCTAGAACTCATATATTTGTTTAGTTGTGTTTTCTCTTCTACTTGCTAATGCTCTTTTACATCAATGCTAAACATGCAGACAACACGTATATTTGCTCCTTGGAGAAATCAAGTTAACCCTGGAGACATGATCTATTGGCGTGAAATTGCCCGTCCGCAAATTCATGGCCATGATCTCAACTGTGTGACATTCATTCAGGGTAGTGGGAACCATCGCTTTGTTAGTGGTGCTGATGAAAAGGTCTCTAGAGTCTTTGAAGCCCCCTTATCATTTTTGAAGACCCTACAACAAGCAACTCTGTTGAAACCTGACATCTCTGAGGATTTTGACAATGTTCAAGTCCTTGGAGCAAATATGTCTGCTCTTGGGCTTTCACAGAAACCCATATATACACATGGTCAGTATCTCTCACACCACCCATGTCTATTGTAATTGAACAATAACGCCTCCTTTTATTTGGCATGAAAAAACGCACTTGTATATAATTCAGTTCTTTTTCTTTTATTTGATGTTGCTTTTTGCATGGTGGTGTAGCAGGAGTCAAGGAATCCCCAAGCGGTAATTCTAATGATGGTCCAGATTCTATGGAAACAATTCCTGATGCAGTGCCTACTGTATTCACTGAGCCTCCTGTGGAGGACCAACTTGCATGGAATACTCTATGGCCTGAATCACACAAACTATATGGTCATGGAAACGAGCTCTTCTCGATATGCTGTGATTATGAAGGGAAGCTTGTTGCATCATCTTGCAAGGTTTGGTGCTGCATGTTGTGCTAATTGTGAAATTCGTTAATAGAACAACAACAGCAATACCAATAGTCAAATGCAAAGTTGTGATAATACCATATTATTCCACGGGAATTCCTGGATGCCATTGAGAAAATGTTTTTGTTGATCCATATATTTATGATCATGTTACACGAAATACTTGATCATTTATTCAGTAATTCATACCTTCTCTTAAGATAACTGGATTGGATGTGAATTCACAAACAAATGCTTGTTTTTCATCTTAATATGAAGAGGGGGATGGGATGAAGTTCTAGTATTCTTGGAGCTTTATTTATTTCGGGGGATGCATGAAACATTCATGTAGGATGGACCACTGTGTGAAAACCATGTGCGTCTTCATTTGGCATTTTCTTGTTAATATTTGACATATTAGCATAACTGCATTAGTTGATGCTGAATATGTTTAATTGTTAATGGTTTGATTTTACCGTATCCTTGGGAAATTTGATGGAATTTCACTCCCATTCAGTCTCAATCAGCAGCAGTTGCTGAGATCTGGCTCTGGGAGGTTGGAACATGGAAAGCTGTTGGGCGCTTGCAATCTCACAATCTAACAGTGACACAAATGGAGTTCTCTCATGATAATGCTTTTCTTTTAAGTGTTTCGAGGGATCGCCAATTGTCTATCTTTTCATTCAGGAAAATCGGTAGGCAATAATTCTTATGATCATGTAGTTCCTTTGAAGTTATTACTTTACATTTGTCTTTCCAGTCATGCTGTTTCGTTTGTGCTGGAGTTGTTGATATGATATCACTTGTGTAATTTTAGAAGGAGCAGAGCACCGTCTGGTTGCAAAGCTTGAAGCACACAAAAGAATTATATGGGCGTGCTCATGGAATCCCTTCGGCTATGAATTTGCAACTGGTTCGAGGGACAAGAGTGTCAAGATATGGTGTGTTGAAGATGCATCTTCTGTCAAGCTACTTGCAACATTGCCTCAGTTCCGTGACAGTGTAACTGCATTAGCATGGATGGGCCGTGACCGTGCTTCTAATGCTGGTATCCTCGCTGTTGGCATGGATAATGGATTGATCGAGCTCTGGAGCATTTCAGGTGGAAGAGCTTCTGCAGGAAGTACTCCAGACTCTCTACTCAGTGTGGCATGCGTGCTTCGATTTGACCCTGTCTTGTGCCACGTGTCAACTGTTCACCGTTTACGGTGGCGGGAACCCAGTTCCACCGATGAGGAATCAACACCTGAGCTCGCTTCTTGTGGAGCTGACCACACTGTAAGGGTGTTTGAGGTCCGCGGCACCATATAGGATTATGTCCAGACGTAGTAGATCAAGCTGTTATGTGCGTGGCAGTTTTTTTATCGATAATCTGGCACGTTGTGTTGTAAAACTAGTCCTGATATGAGAATTGAGAAAAGAGTGTTATCATGAAGAATGTGATGTCCATATATAACACCAGTTTTATGGTAAAAGATGCACATTGCCCTGTTTGTTTGGCTGATAAGCCATGACTGAAAGTAGCGTTGGCTGATTTGTTGTGAAAGAAAAATATTGTTCGTTGGCTCAAAAAGTATGGCTTATAAGTCAAGCGAACAGGGCGCATCGAATAGTTATAGATGTTGGTGTGTTGCTGAATCACCTATATCCAAGCTTTGTGTATCATTTCAATCTGCAATACAAATTCGATAAAAATCCACTATATTGCTTACATTGAAGCAACGAGTTCCATGCTGTACATTACACACTTTGTTGAACTCAAGCGGTAGAGTCTTACCGTCTGTGACCGGAAGGTCCCGGGTTTGAGTCGCGGTCTTCTCGTATTGCATAAGCGAGGGTAAGGCTTGCCATTGATACCCTTCCCCAGACCCCGCACAGAGCGGGAGCTCTCTGCACTGGGTACGCCCCTTTTTTATGTTCAGGTTGCTTACAATCTAAGCTACTGACCTACTGTGTTGCAGCTAGCCACCAGGAGGCAGCAACAACTGAGGAACCAAGAGATTGACAAAGATGAAGAACCAACTTCAAATTCACATGAATCATAGGTATGTTTTGCTGTTCTCAGGCCATTTTTCATCATCAGTATAAAAAAACTAAGATTTGATATAGTATAATGACAAAAGAAAACGAGGGATTTTTTTTTCTTCTAAAGCCAGTCATTTTGTTCTGCATCTCCGGGCAACAAGAACTCCACAAGGAGGAGCAGTGAGCTCCATCTCACAGATTGTGTACATCCAGTATGAGTAGTGGCCAAACCTGAACCTGGCCTCCACTTTGAAGGCGCCTCTTATTGTGTACACCACCCTGTTGCTCCTCACCTGGTTCACCATCTTTACAGCCACCTCGGGCGGCAGCAGAACTCGGCTGGACACCAGGTGCATATTCAGGACCTGGGACTGGCCTCGCTGCTGCAGGAACGGAGGCAGCGCCTGCACGGCCATGGGCCTGTCCTGGAAGAAGAGCTCGATGGTGGCGGACCGGAACACCAGGTCGATCTTCTGGTTGGGGTTGGAGATGTTGGCCACGAGCGTCATGTCGTTGTTGAAGTAGGGGGCCGGTGAGTCCACGTAGATGCTGTTGAGGATGGCGTTGGCAGTGTCGAAGGATGGCGGCCTTGGCTTCACTGCCAGGAAGATGATCAGGATGACGACGCCTGCAACGATGAGGAGGATGCTGAAGGCGAAGCAGACGATGGCCGCACACCACATCGCCGGCGAGGTCTGGTGGCGCGGTTGCAGGATTATCTTCGACGGTGCCCGCGCCGGCTGCCGCAGCGCCTGTGTCTGCTCGGTTATCTTGGACGGATCCACCAGCTGCGCCGGTGGCTGCTCGTTGGACGGATCCACTGGTGGCAGCTCCGGTGGCTGCTCGATTACCTTGGACGGATCAACCGGTGGCGGCTGTGGCAAGGCCAGTGGCAGCTGCTTCCTGTTCATTAGCTTGTTTACGATGGTTCTTGGGGATTGGAGGTGGTAAGGAGTGCCCATTTCTGCAGCACCACCACTACCAAGTCCAACAAGGCAAAGACGAGGAGCTCAAGAGTGTAGAGAGGCTTAATGGGGAAAGCAAGCTAGAGAGCAAGAACAACAACGAGAGCCAGGGAATGGAGTGATGGAGTTAAAAGGAGAGTCTGATCGAGCCTAGTGGTGGCACCTCCTTCCAAAATAAAGAGGGAGAAAAGAGAGGCTTTTGAAAATCGAGCGTGGGGCCACTGTCTCGTGTTCCGCCATTGAAAAACCAGAGCTGCTTCGAGCAAAGGTGTGGAGTGGGGCAGCGTTGCCGGCTGCCGGCAATTGATTGGGGTCTGCTTTATATCAGAAAAAGCATATTTCTTGAGGTGGACAAAGGTAAAACTTGGGTTATTCTTGGCACTAACAAATACTAGCCTGATGCTCGATGTTTCATGTTTGTGGCTTGGCATTTTCAGACAGCGGCTTGGAATGTGCTTTTCCCACTAGTACATGGCCTGTGAATCAGTCAGTGGTTCATTCTGCAGGAACACCTGCCCATGCTTTCCTCGTGCAGTTTTTAAGATTGGCCAAGGTGAGATGAAGTAATGAAATGTGCCACAAACTCACAATCATTGGAAGTTCATGCAATCTTCATGTTAATGAAGTCCTCAAGTTCGAGTTCAAAACTGGAAAGCAGTCAAACTATGAGGAGGTGAGATGAGAAGCATGCTGTATTGCTCTGGGAGGAGGAGAGCTGGGAAGGAAGGATGGAAGCAAGGGCAAGTTGCTTAGCCATGCAAAGAAAGGCGAAAAAAGGCGCTCCTGGACCAGTTTCGTTTCGTTTCGAACTAAAGGCAGGTATGGGGTTAATTCATGACTAAGGAACCCATATGCGCTAATGCGCTGACAGAAAACCGGCCTGGATTTGATACGAGATCTCCAGCAGGAAGGAACATTCCTGAGTCGCCCATGGCTTTTCTTTGGTGCAGGCCCTGCTTTTGTCAGCGACGGCGAAAGCTGACGCCGCACTGCGCGGCTTTCCCTTCCTGCACTGTGCCGTGTGTCGTCTCTCCTGCACTGCATTCTTCAGGTGCCATTCGGATTCGTGAGTTGGTAGTGAGAAGAAACAAGAAGAAGAATCGTCTAGTCGCCTGTATCTGCGAAGAAACTTCTGAGAAGGATTCTATCATTCGTTCTGATTTGGTTATGCTTTATCAACAGATTGACTGCATGATCTTGTTCTTGGATTTTACGGGCGTGTCTGTGGTGTCTGAGTCGTCTTTTTGTTTTTTTCTTTTCTTTTGTGAGCACAGGTGCGCCACTGGCTCAGCTATGATGAATTTTTTCGCTCTAGTGATTCTGATATACGTATACATAATGTGCTGTCAACAGAATGTAGGTCGTGTCAGGTAACAGGTCAGGCGACGTCGGCCGGTGGCACGGCGCTGTCGTAGGCCATCGCCGGCGTGCTGGTGTCGTCGCTGGGCACGTAGGAGCAGCTCGCCGACGCCGACGCGGCCTCCACCTGCTCCTGATGCGCGGCCACCATGCCGCCGCCGCCGTCCTGCATCGTCAGGAACTGCTCGTCCGGCGCCAGGCAGTGCTGCAGCAGCAACCAACAAGGAAACAAATAAACGCGTTAGCGGCAGCCTTGCCGTGGTGACGAAGAGGATGCATGCGCCACGGCTCACCGGCGGCATCGTGAGAGGGAAGGGCGTGGCGGGGATGAGCGTGGAGAGCGGCTCGGTGCAGGCGTAGGCGTACGCCTGCCGACACGCCTCGACATCGGCGTCGGCGTCGGCGTTGCTGCCTAATCCGGCCGCGCACGGCGTCGCCGAGCACCTGGGAGGTGGCGTCGTACACGTCTGGGTCCCTGAGACGATGGAGAGAGCGAACGAAATTAAAGTTCCGATCCAGTGGCGGCGTACGTACGTGCGCGCCTCCGGCAGGCGCGTCGATCGGGCACGTGTAGTACGTACGTACCTGAGGTAGATGAACGAGTCGTCGGATGCAGCACCGAACGACAACATGTGGCGGCCGACGGGGTCTGATGAGCCCCCGTCGCTGGCGGCGGCGGCCACAGCGTGGGGGCGTCGCCGGCGAACGCGGCCATGGCCTCCGCGTCATCGCCGGCGCCCCATTTGGCCCCTGCCATGCATGATGCAAGATTTCCGCACCGGACCACCAACCAAGGAGTGAAAGAAAGAGTTCTTTGTATACATACCTGTATTTGTATCCCAGCAGATGCAGCCGGATCGAAGGGGGCCATGTGATTGCTCAAGCTAATTCTGCAAGGGAAACTCCTCGTTGTTGGGCAACACAAACACACGATTCAGAAGTTGCAATTTGCAGATCACAGTAATTCAGAAGGATTATGTATCACTGCCCCTAATAGAGAACAGTCCTTTGATCCAAGGACTAAACCAGGCTCTAATCCTAGAAAATATTGTGTCCGGGACTAGAGAGACCTTTAGTCCTGGTTGGTGGCTCAATCAGGACTAAAGGTCTCTGCCCAACGGCTCCTGCACCAGGCCGTTGTGGCAGGGGACCTTTAGTCCCGGTTGGAGCCACCAACCGGGACTAAAGATCGACCTTTACTCCCGGTTGGTGGCTCCAACCGGGAGTAAAGCTCTTGTCCCGGCTAGTGGCGTGGCCTGGGACTGGAAAGTGACCTTTAGTCCCGGTTGGATCCACCAACCGAGACTAAAGGCCCCCCCTATAAATCCTGCTGGCCGTCTTCTTCCTCCCCGAGCCCGCCTAAGAGCTTCATTTCAAATTTAAGCAGTGTTCTTGCTCTTTCTTCATCCATTCTTCGAATCCTCCGTCGATTTCTTCGATTCCTCCGTCGATTCTTCGGTTCTAAAGGTTACCAACTTCATACTCTCATGTTTCACCATTGTCTTATCTCATTTTGTTCACTATATATATATGGTTCTTTATTGTGGTTTTTTTATTTGTAAGCAATTTGAGCTCAAAATCACTTCAAGCTTGCATATTTACATGAAGGAAGGTTAAAGTAGCTATTAAAAACTAGTATTTACCGTTCATTTGTAGCATGCATAGCACACTTCATTGTTTAGAGATATAGAGATTTTAGAGTTTTGTTAATTTTATTTGTTTATAAAATGAGAAATTTATAGTGTATTAAAAAATGAGTATAGAGTAGAGATGGGCTATACGGGTCCTCGGCCTCTCATGGGTTTCTAAAGCGACTTAGGCGGGCCTCCCACTCATTGCATGCGGCAAGTGTTGTGATGAGACGAAGATTGTGATGGAGTACCGAGTGAAGGAGGGTCCCAACAAGGATCGCATTTTCTACGAGTGTGCGGATCGCATAATGTGAGTTATTTTATCGTATTTAATGACTATGGTTAGTTTATACCTATTTTCATGATGGTTGTGATTAAAGTTCTAATTTTCTCATTTTAATTTGATTGGGATGGCCTTTGGATGTTCGAAGCTTCTCTTTGGACGGAAGAGTATGTTGAACTCGTGCAAAAATATCTTGTACAACAGGCAGATATGGCGGCTAATGAGGTAATGATCCAGCCGAAGAAGCCCAAAGATGTTGAACAAATGGGGATCTGTCTGTTTTAGTTGGGATTGGTCGCGAAATCCTTGTGCTGCTAAAGTGCATTTTATCTTTAGTGTTTTTAGTGGTAGTTGGGATTGTCTACATTGTAGGGAGGCTTTCTTAAATTTATAGCTTTTGTGGTGGTATGCATGTTGTATAATTAACTAATTATGTTCTAGGTTTTAATACGGTATTTATGTCATGTAATGCAGATGAGTCGGCATTCGATGTACAATCTTGATCGTCGCTCCCAAGAGTTCATGGGACGGCGTGCATTCTTTATTACGTCTTGGCCGAGGCAAACAAACGCGATGGTTTCATGTCTTTGTCCATGTGCCGTATGTAAGAATACGATGGAATATGCTAACTCAAAGACTCTTCATTCACACTTGTTCAAGTCGGGTTTCATGCCAAACTATATTTGTTGGAATGGCACGGAGAAACCGGAGTTGTAATGGAAAAAGGTGAAGAAGAACAATGGGGCGATGATGACATTTTTCTTTGAATATGGTGCCTTCAA